CATATATTGTGTCACTCAAGGGTCAGTCCTTGGCTTTATACAGCTAGGTGGCATGGTGCACCAGACTTGGAGTTGGGAATACCTAAATTTTCCTGCCTTATTTAGCTCTGTGTGACCCTGGGCAAGTCACTTAACCTGTCAATATCAAAAAAGATAACGTAAAGTGCTTTCCAAACCTGAAATCACTACATAAATGTTGGCTATTTTTTTTTGGTAGCTGTAGTTCTAGTAGTAGTCATAGTTAAATTGTAGTAGTCATCATCTATTTCCTTGATAATCTCATTCATTCCTACTGCTATAAACTCTATTTTCATGCATATGACTTCCAAATCTTTATCTCCATTCTGGACTTTTCTGAGCTCCAGAACTATATGTCTAACTGACTACAGAACATCTTCACCTGTATGTTCCATTGGTACCTCAAACACAACATGACCCAAAATGAGGTTATTACCTTTCTCCCAATCCTGTTCTTTTTTTTTTTTTGTCTGTAGTATTCCTGTGCACTCTTTGGGATTATCTTTAATTCTTCCCTTCTCACCTCTCACTTCCCTTCAGCCTCTTGTTAAATACCCCTGGGAAAGGAAGCATACTATATTGATAAGTAGTCTATCCCATTGTTGGACAGTTCTGGTTGTTGGAAAAAAATCTTTATGTAGTAGGGAAGAAATTGGACTATGTGACTTCTAAGGTCTCTTTCAACTCTATAATTTTATGGTAATGAAGGCTAAGAAATTCCAGTACCAGTCCTGCCACTTTTCACCCTGATGTTAGTCTGGATCTTAAAGCCTCTGGTTCTTTGTGATGTCTGCCGTTATGAGGAAAAGATTGGCTTTACATGACATGTTCCCTAGAACCTGGTTACTTTCTCATTAAATTTTACACTTACAATTTTGATAACTGTCAAGAAGTGCTAGTAGCGCCTTCATGATTAACCTTACAAATGTACGGTTACTTTGTCACTTTTTTTTCTACAAAGGAACTAACACTAGATTTAGAGGTGGAGTACCTCAATTCCGAACTTGATTCCTTTACCTATTACCTGAATGATATCAGGCAAATCACTTAATGGGCCATAATTTCCTTACCTGTGAAATGGCAGTGGTTGAATTGAGCTCTGAAGTCCCTTCTCCTTCTAAAACCATGATCTTATGATTTCCATGTGCATATTTACATTAAGAGGAAACGGCATATTTGGCACAGGTTGATGTTGAAGTCAGACTTACCCTAACACTTCACTATATATACTACCAGGTTGTTGTGATGAAAGTGCCTTGTCAATTGTAAAGGACCCGAATGTCTATGCTTATTTATATTTCTATACAAGGTGTGACTAGGAAGATCCTGGGAAAGTTTAATAAGACTAAAAGATGAGTGAGGACTTTGTTGTGATATTGAAAATATTTTCTCAGAGAAGGTCTAAGTAATAGCTTGGGAGAAACTTGACTCTTCTTGCCTTTGTGGAGATCCTTTGGGGCTGGGGAATGATTCAAAGAGGGATGATGACAAAAACAATACCAAGATTATCACTATCCCCTATCCCTCCCTCTCTCAAATGATTTCTGGGTAGGTACAAAATTGTCCAAGTTCTGATGTTTGGTAGGAAAATGAGCTGGAGAGAATGACTTGTGAGAATTAATACATCTTTCCTCTTCTCCCAAGATTTGAACCCAGTTTGTGTAAACCCAAGGCTTTAGTTCTGGGTGATAGGTCATACTCTAATTCTTCTAAAGATCTATGATTTCACTGCTATGGATATTCCTACCATTGGTGTAAACTGTAATTCAGCCATGCCTTTTTATCCTGAGATTCTTAAGGTTCTAAAAATCCTCCATAGACCTGATAACCATCTTTTTGGCATTCTCATATTATTGGTACAAGTCAAGTAGTCATCCTTTGTGATCCCTTTCACTGTGTCCCTTCTCTTCCAAAAAAATTCATCTTCTAGACAATGCCTTATGTCATCATCTCTTGCATGTTAAGTCAATGCTGGCAAATATGTCATGGCCTACTTATAATCACTATGTCTCTGTTCTTTGAGTCATCCACTATTATTTTAATTTAAATTATTACTTCATATTAATCCTACACTGAATAAAATTTTTTACTTCAAAATCTCAGAGGCCTTGTCAATATGTGTTCTTATCTTCAGGCATACAATAAAGCAAATTTTTCCTTTAGGAGAATAGAAAAAAAAATGCCACCTAAATTGTCTCTTCAGCTTCTAAGTATTTTAAAAAAAAGCCCCTAAAGGTGGTTTAAAAAACAACAATAGAGGCAGCTAGGTGGCCAGTGGATAGAGCACCAGCCCTGGATTCAGGAGGACCTGAGAACAAATCGGGCCTCAGACACATAACACTTACTAGCTGTGTGACCCTGGGCAAGTCACTTAACTCCACTGCCTAACCAAAACCAAACCAAACCAAACCAAACCAAAACAAACAAAAAACCCCAACAATAATAAGAAGCTGCTTTTCTAGTCCACATCCTTCTCCTGAATCCTAGAAGCCAGTTATTATCTTTAACAGGATCAGACAGTTCATTACCAGGTCTTTCCTGATTCATGATTAAACCCCAAAACCATGGAAGCATAAATTTCCAACTGTACCCTAGACAAAATTTCCCCCAAGCAAGATTAAGTTTGTTTTGCCAACTTCTGCTAGCTACCATTACTAACAGCTGACCACTCTCTTTTGTACTTGTATCTTGGCCCAGCACAATATTTGATTGTTCATGTGCAATACTAGTTATTTTGCATGTAATTGTTTAAAACCACCTATTAAATAGGTGCACAGCATTCACCTTCCTTACCTTTTAAGCCTCTCCTTGTAAGGACTTCAAATTTTTCAACATTCAATATTTCAAATACAATAGTTTAAAAAGTTTTACAGTACTTCCTTCACATCTACATCCAAAAGTAAGGGTTAGAAGTATTAAGTTATATACCAGAGTTGAAGTGTCTTCAAAGATTTTTGATGTACTCATGAAAATTAAGATATTTCAAAGCAGAATGATGTGAAATGATTTTAGGTTTCCTGCTCCTAGAATTTAGATTGCTTCTCTAACAAATTCATCATCAATCTTGAGACTCAAGGCCAACCTCACTAATATCAATCCTACTTTTGGGTACTTTTCTCTACTTGATTCTCTTATTTAAAAGACATTTTACTTTACTTTTAACTTGAAGGATTCTAACAGGGCAAATTGCCTAACCTCTTTTGGTCAGACTCAACTTAAAACAGAAAGAGGGAAAGCAGGGTACCATAGTTAGGTGAATTGTTAAGTCCCTTCTAGCTCTAAAAGTGAAATGTATAATTTGAATAGAAATATTTAGAATCTGTGAAAGCTCCAGTGTAGACTGTTATTTACTGTGGCCAATTAAACTACTTAATTAAAAAAAACCCACCAAACTTTTTTGGGCTTTAGCTCCCACATATATCAAAGTGAGCTATTTAAGAATTTGTGGATTATGAATCTGAAAACCCATATGACCTTGGGCAAATCATTTAATATCTTCTAGGCCCCAGTTTCCTTATCTGTAAAGTGGGAGATTTTAAAAGCTGTCAACTTGAAGGCTTCAAAGATCTCCTCTTGCTCTAAATCTATGGGACTATGGTACTCTCAACAACACTGTGAAGTAATAAAAGTGGTATAACCTGCATTTTACAGATGAGGAAATGCTCTGAAAGTCACTTGGCTAAAAGTAAGGAAGTCTAAAAGCTAGAATTTGGTACAGATCCCTTGATTCCAAGTTCAATGTTCTATTATAGAGGTTGAAATGATTTTTTTTAAAGGGCAAGTTGGTTTTAATTTGCTTAGCTTTAAATGTAGTTAAATCCACATTTTTCCAATAAAAATATATCCCATCAAGTATAAATAAAAGTAAACATCAGTAGAAAGTCTTCTAACTAAAAGTTTAGCTTTGTTATCAGTTTTGTTACTGCTACGATGTTCACATATAATGAACAGTAACCAATACCACGAAGATATAAAAATTGTCACTTAATGCCTCTATTTCTAATGTATAGCAGAAGACACCATATTTAATCTTCTTTGCAATGTTAGCATATGTGAAAGTCACCTATATTCAACAGGGTCTATCATCATAGAACACACTATGTCAAATCACCTGGAAAAGAAGGATCTGATTTTGACCAAGGAAAAATTCATTTGATGTTTTCTACTACAAGGATAGCATGATATAGTAGAAAGAGGTCTGGATATGTAACCTGAATACCATTTATTCACTATGTGAACATAGGCAAGTTCATTTAAATTTTTTGAGCCTGTGCTTCATCATTTCTAATATGGGTGACGATAAGTAATATTTGCAATTCCCACTCTATAGGATTATCAGGAGGAACTTACTTTATAAAGCTGAAAACAGAAATATAATCACTATTATTTATGACAGGGTTTTTTTTTACACATTGCTCACTTCCTGTTAAAAAAAAAAAACCTCCTTTTTATATAAGATTGCATTTTCTGGAATTGAAATTTTAAAAGCCAATTTTCCAAAATCAACATGATTGACTAATTATCGATTTGTTGCCTGGTACTAAGATTTAAAACTGTCAGAGGCCAAAGTGGGGGCAGTGCATTTAGAGAAAGGAACGCAATACAGAAGGGGCTATCTTGCCTACTGTCACTTGCTTCTTTATCCTATTTCCATCTGTAAAGACTGCTTAATATCACCTTTCCTTCCCTCCTCCTCAGTTCAATCATAGCCACTCTCATTTCCTTTTGCTTGAGGAATAAAGCTCCCTTCCTCTCAATTCATTTTCCAGATTCCTTTTACCTCTCTCAACTACGCTGATCCACCCCATAAAGGTTCTGACTACAATCTAATTAAGATGAACTAAATTTAGTGATGTCACTGAAGTAAACTCCTTAAATATTCTGAGCAGTAGCAAGGAGATTGAATTCACCTTTCTCTCATTGAAGATTAAATCTCATCTTCATCCTTTAATTTTTTTAGAACAGTTTCTCCTTTTATTTAAATTCCAACTCAACAGGACAAAAAGGTGGATAGTAATTGCAAAGGTTTTTTTTTTTAAAGAATTATGGTATGTAGGACATTTAAGGACATCTTGGATCTGGCCTAAGGTATTTACCAACCAGTAGGATCTTTCATCTCAGTGTACCCTGATTAATGCTAATATAAAAAAAAACTTTATTGTAAACTTGGACATTTCAATCTGAAGATGAATATTTGTAATGGCACCTGAGGAGCTTTCCTCTAATAAGATAGCCTCCCAGTCAAGCAACTACTGAAAACAGGCATCTTCAGTTAACGAAATGCACCAAAATACAAAAGCAAAACCTATCTACAAGGATGTTATGGAATAAGAGAGCATTATAATGAAGCTTAACTCCTTATTCCTTTCCCATATTCCTTAATTTGCAGCTCATTGCAAAATTTGAAAAGCTATTTGTGTGTGTCTGTGTGTGTATTAACTAGGCAATAGAGAAGGGGCATTTTGGTTAGAGTTTGTCACCTTTTCTCCTTTATCATTAGCTGAAAGTTTCAACTAGATTTTAAAAGATGGCCACTATTCATATTTTGGACCTCTTGAAGGCTCTGAAAGTGCTGCTTCAGCTTTTTTCTTTGAACTTCTGCTGCAAACCCTTCTTCTTTTATCTGAATTTAAGGAGGCTCTAGGGCGAAGGAGGTATGCATCTCGGGTCCTCTTTCTCCAATTCAGTTTCCTTTGCTCTTTATTAATTTTTCCCTGAAGCTGTAATGCCAATAATCTATCCTTTTCCTCTTGTTTATGCCTCTCAAAAAATAAGTGCTCTAAATCCATCAGTTTTTGGGTAAAGTTATTTTTTCTTTCCTCTTTCTCTGGGGTGGTCTCTGGGCATATTTTCCCTTTCTTCAAAGAGAGGCCTGAATCACTGAGGGATTCAGACAGCGATTCTAGACTTTTCCTTCCTGGAATTTCTTTATTCACCAACAGACTAGTGCCTTCATTTTTCATCTCTGCTGTACATTCATTCTCTGATTTGCTGGAAGGCTTAGTTACAACTTTCCCAGAGCAGAAAAATTTGGTTTTGGGCAGTCTGTGATTTGCAACATTACAATGGCTTATAATTTCATCCTCACTGCTTGTTCCTGGTTCTCTTTCTTTCATCCCATTTTCCAGGGAAGCCCTTGCACCAATGTTTTCAATTTCACAGAAGGCTTGTGTAGATAAAGTTGGAAAGTCTCCCCCTCTTTGCTCCTGCCACCTGGGGCTCTTCTCTTTACCAATGCTGACCTCCTTAGAATTGTAGGATCTCTTGCCTCCTGCTATTTCAAGTTCATTCTCTAGTTCTGGGGAGGTAAGTTGGGATCTGGATGTCATGCACTTGTGAATGTCTCCAGCATTGTTGGGTTTGCTCTCTGTTTTCTTTGGCGTTCTGCAAGAGGCAGGGTAAGATGAACTGGCAACAAAAAGGGAAGTCAAGACACATTTCAGTGTTTTAAGACTGATGCTTATTTCTCGGGCCAGATCTTTATCTAGTTTCAGCAGGTCCTCTCTCTCTCTTTGCCTCTCTCCCTCCTCCCTAGCTTGCCTCTGGTCTTCCTCATACCTTGGCCTTTTCTCCCTAGTTTGAGTCTCTTCTTGCTTTGACCCCTGATTTTCTTCTTCCTTCTGATTCTCTTTTTGCTCTAGCTCTCGTCTCAGCTTCCCTTTTTCCTCTTGTCCATTCCTTTGACTGCCTTCCTCTTCCTCCCTCCTGCGCTTCTCTTCCCCCTCCTCGGCCAGTAGCCGGTTTATGTACTCCGCACTGACTCGAGCCTCCTCTTCTGCGCATGCCCGCCTCTCCGCTTCCACTTTGCTCAGTTCCTCCTCGTACTCCCGCCTCAGCTCCCCTGGCGCACTGAGCCTGCGCAGCGGGAGGTCCGCCTCCCGCTCCCTGCGCTGGGTCCTCCTGCCTTCGCTGGCGAGCCCGCCATTCCGGATGTACTGCTTCTCGATCCTGCGCCATAGCTTCTGATTGATCAGCGTGTTCTGGCGGGCCTGGGCACGGGCCCACGAGGACACCCGGCGGCGGCAGAAGGGGCAGTGCAGGCTGGCCTTCTGAACGGTCTGCTGGAAGCACGAGTGGCATAGCGTGTGGCCGCACGGGAGGCTTACGGGCTCCACCAGGATCTCCGTACAGATGGGACAGAAGCAGTCGGAGATCTTGAGCGGGGCCTCCGGGGACGTGGCCATTCCGGGGGCTGTCGGAGGAGAGCTACCAATCCCAGGATCGCGGGGCGCCCTGGTCTAGAGATCGTCTCCTGACCCCGGCGCCGCCCCGTCCGGGGCTTGAGAGGCAGAGCCCGCAGCTTCGGCCTGAGAGTAGCCCCAGGGAGGACGAGGCTTCACCTCTAGCTCTCGCTCAGCCCAGAACCAAGCTGAACTGCGGGCGTCTGGGCTGCACCTGGTCTGCGCTTGGCTTTGTGACGTCAGAAGCCGCGGAGGCGGGGCCACGCCCTCCTTCCCACCCCAGCAGCTCTTCCCTGCCCACGCTGAGCTCCCCAGAGTGCCGGGGGAAAGGGGCTGCTGGAACAATGCCTGTCCTGCCCACGTGTTTCACTGGAAAGCGCCGCCGAGGCTTAGGAAGCACGAATCCCATTCTCATCCCACCTGGCTCTTCCAGCCTCTGAAATAATGGAGTAAGGTCACTGAAGACCCGGGTTCCATACTAATTTTGTGTCATGGACCCCTCTGGCTGTCTGGTGAAGGCTACGGACCTCAGAAAAATGTATGGAAACGCATAAAACTAAAATACATAGAGATTATCAAGGGGAGCCAATTATACTGAAATACACTTAGCAAAATGTGGATAAAAAATTCTAGGACATCTGGTTGAGAATCTCTAATATAACTCAAATCTGGGACTTTTCCTTATTTTCCCTAAATTCACTTTTTTTGGAAGTTCTATCTTATCTCAATTATCTTCTGTATCTGTCTATACTGTATTTTCTTTATCATCCATCTATTTGCCTATACTACATCTTATATATCTCATCTGTATCTTATATCTGTATTATATCTCTTTCCATCTATCCATCCATTTTTAAAAACAGTATTTAATGATACTGCTATCTATTAAGTATAGCTTCTTTTAAAGTATTTGTTCAGTTGCATTCTACTCTTAATCATTTCATTTGGGTTTTTCTGGGCAAAGAAACCACTGCAGTGGTTTGCTACTTCTTTCTGTAGCTCATTTAACAAACAAGGAAACTGAGGCAAACAGTTAAGTGACTTGCCTAGGGTCACACAGCTAGTGAGTGTTGTGTGCCTGAGGCCAAATTTGAGCTCAGGTCCTCTGACTCCAGGCCCAGCACTCTATCCACTACCCCGCCAAGCTGCCCCTAACACGGCCTATTTTCAAAACCAGTCATCTGGCTGTTTCCACTATACCTCTGTTCCTTTTACATGCCTCTTTAACTGATACATTAGATATCTACTTCAGTACTTCAAGGACGTGATTTTATCCCAGTGGTTATTTCTTGGCTCATGCCTCTACTGTATTTCTAAGGTACCTGATGGCTCCCAGCCTGAGGATCTGATGATCTGTTAGTATATAATGTGCTATGAAGAAATGATGCCCTCAGAGCCTACACACAAAATGGCCCTGAGCTCCTCTTGTCTTTTGAGTTCCCTGGTCAGATTTTCATATTTTTCATGTCTTCTCTCTTTCTACATATAGTAGTTATACAGACACACAGACACAGACATTATTATAGTAGCTACCACTTATATAGATAGCACTTTAAGGTTTGCAAAGCACTTTACAAATATCTCATATGAGCCTAACTAACAACAGATGGAGAAACTGGAGCAGAGCTTGCCCAGAGCTGCAAGATAAATATCTGAGGCTACATTTGAACTGCAGTCTTCCTAACTTTAGGTCCAACACTTACTTACTAAGCCATGTAGTAGCTTAGGTGAACTTGGAGGCAGGGGAAACCTAAGTTTAAGTCTTGCTTCTGATACTAAATAGTTCTTTGACTGTGGGCAAGTCACTTAATTTCTCTAAGCCTTTGTTACCTCATCTGTAAGGGAGGGCTAATGCTATTTTACCTACCTCACAGGTTTGTTGTGAATAAACAGATTAGGAAATCTTAATGTCAGATGTCATTTCTATCAAGTTTTTCTGAGGGTGCATTTAGTAGGTCCTTCCACCTCCTTATAATGTACGGTTTTAAATCTGATATGGATTTGGAAATTGGTTTTTTAAACTTATTTGAATTCTATCTAAATAAATTCAGCTCTAAGGAAAGATCCGATGGATTCTTATGTGAAGAAAATGGATACACTTTAGTGCACATATACACACACATACATATGTAGGTATACATTTATTTTAGCAGCTCACCCCTCTACTTTTTAAATTACTAACTGGTTTTATCTTGTTTTCCTGATAGGTGAGGTTCCTGGATGTGTTAAATATTATTAGAAGTAACATGATGTAATAAAGCAGATTCAAATCTTATCTTAGACACTAACTATGTGACCCTGAGCGAGTTAAGAGATCATGGGATCATAACTTAGCTCAGAGGACCTCAAAGGGCAACTAGTTGACCTCCTTAACACCTACCTCAGGGTTGTGACAAGCAAATGAGATAATACATGTGAAGTGCTTTGCAAAACCTTGAAGTGCTGCTACTTTTACTGTAGTGGTACTACAAGAGATCCCTTAAAACAAACTCCCTCTGGGCCTCGCTTTTTTTGTAAAATGAGGGAGTTGGACCAGATCAAAAGTGTTAAAGGTGTGGCCCCCAACTCTCTCAAGTGTGGCCAGAATCAGATTAAAATGTAGTTCCTATCTGATTTTAATGTTTATGTATTAATGAAAAAAAAAATATGTAAATACATGCTTTCTAAGTTAATATGCAGCCTACAGGGATCATCATATATAGTTTGGTAGCTTCTGTTTCTATTTGAATTTGACATCTTTGGACTAGATATTCATTAAAGTTCCTTTTAGTTCTCATATTCAGGATTTCCATTATATATACAACCGTTTTCTTAGTCTTAAGAACCTAGAAATAAAACACTTTATGGTGAATTACCTGGATTCCAGCAAGACACTTTTTACAATTTCTTACGTTATCATCATGTACAAGATACAGAAATGTGGGTGAAGTAAAAATACAATTAGTTGCCTTTGTAATTGGTTAAGTTAACTGTGGTTGTACATCAAGGTTCTGTCTTGAGCCCTGTCTTCTTGTCTTTATACTCATTCTCTTGGTGATCTCATCAGCTTCTTTGGGTTCAATTATTATCTCTATGTAGATGATTTGCTGATCTAGTATCCAGTCCTAGTTTCTCTGCTGAGTTTCAGTCACATATCACCAATTTCTTATTGGACGTTTGAAGCTGGAGGTCATAGTAAGTATATCTAAAATAGAACTCATTATCCTTCTTCCTCCCAATTCATGCTGCCTCTTCCTAATATCCCAATTTCTGTAGAGTGTACTACTATCCTTTCAGTCTCTCATCTTCAACCTTTGAATCAATTTTACTTTCTCTTACTAGTCATATCCAATTAATTGCCAAGTCTTGTTGATTCTACCTCTACAACATCATTTATATCTATCCTTTTTTTTTTTAACATGATGTGTTAAAATTGTATCTTGTTCTGGTCTCCTTGACCCTCTTCCTCCCCCTTCTAGTCAGTATAGTACAGGCATACCTTGTTTTATTGTGCTTTGATTTATTATGCTCTGAAGATAATTGTGTTTTTGTACAAATTGAAGGTTTGTGGCAACCCTGTGTTGAGCAAGTCTCTTGGTGCTATTTTTCCAACATCATGTGGTCGGTCACATTGTGTATCTATGACACATTTTGGTAATTTTCACAATATTTCAAAATTTTCATTATTATTATATCTGTTACGGTGATCTGTGATCATTGATCTTTGATGTAACTATTGTGATTGTTGGGGTACCCCAAACCATACCAAAAATGTTTGTGTGTGTTCTGACTGCTCCACCAACCAAATGTTCCCCTGTCTCTCTCCCTTTCCTTGGGCCTCTCTATTCCCTAATATACATTAATATTGAAGAATATCACATAAAATATAAACCTAAAAATATCACATAAACTAAGTCGATAAACCTGTGGCAGGATTTGAGAGGATTGGTTCCAATTCTGAAAAAAGTTCTACTGCAGGTAAAATGCTATCAAGCAGCATTGCATGCTACAGAGAAATCTTTTATGAAAGGAAGAGTCAATCAATGGGGCAAATTTCATCATTGTCTTATTTTAAGAAATTGTCACAGCCACTCCATTCTTCAGCAGCCACCACCCTGATCAGTCAGCAGCCATTCAACATTGAGGCAAGATCCTCTACCAAGCAAAAAATATTATGACTTGCTGAAGGTTCAGATGATGGTTGGTATTTTTTTTTTCAGTAATGATGTATTTGTTACTTAAGGTATGTACATTTTAAAAGGCAGAATACTATTGCCCACATAATAGACTACAATATAGTGTAAAAATAAACTTTTATATGCACTGGGAAACAAAAAAAAATCCATGTGACTTGCTTTACTGTGATAATTGCTTTATTGCAGTGGTCTGGAACCAAACCTGCAATATCTTGGAGGTATACCTCCAAGTTAATAACAATAGCAGGAAGTAAGATTGCAAAATGGAACCTGTAAGTCATAGAACACACCATCCCAAAGATCAAAGGAGCATAATTTGCAAACTGTATTATAGATTAACCAAAATTCACATCCTGAGAATATGTGCTATATCAGGGAAAGCCATGTGGGCCTTGCTGTCTCACAGCCTTTTAGTGCTATCATATATAAATATCAGATAGGTTCCAGACATCTGCCGGAAGACCAGGTGCAGAACCCCAGATGTTGTTAGCTTTGAGATGACATGGACGTGCTAACGTTAAAGTTTTACCCACAGCTTTGAGATGATTTGGATATTTTGATGAACTAACACAAGGTCACACAGATAAAACCCTCAAATTTCTGCCTGTCTGAGCGTTCTAGCATCTTCCTCTGGAACTATGCTGCTGAATGCCCCCAGCTCTAACCTGTCCTTTTGGGAGGGACTTTCTGTGACTTTCCCACTGCCCATTCTCTTCCCCATGCTGTCTGCCTCTACGTTCACTCTGTCTTGCACCATTTGTCTCTGTACTCTCTGTGCTATTTGCCCCTGGACCTTCTGTGCCTTATTTATGATTGCAGCCTTACTTCCTGCTGCCATTGTGTTGTTTTCTGGTAAGTACCCAAAGAACCACGCTTGCCTGTCCCATTTCATAATTACGTAAATCAATTAGCAATTCATATAGCCACCACCCTAGTTCAGGACCTCTGAACCTCTCTGACCTGGAATACTTCAGTAGCCTTCTATTTTGTTTCCCTTTCCCAATTGTCTCCCTTCTCCAATTCATCCTTTATATAACTGCTAAGGTAATATTTCTAATGAACAAGTTTTATTGCACTCACTCAAAAAGTCCTATAGCTCCCTATTCCTTTTAGGAACAGTTTTGCCTCTTAGAATCCCTAGCTTCTTTCAAAGCTCAACTCAAGTTGTTCTCAAGCTTACTTCCTACATGAAACCTTTCTTGATCAACCTATCTGCTAGTGCCTCCACCCCATTGCCTTGTATTTGCTTTGGTTATATTTTATATTTACTTACATTTGCATATATCATCTTTTCTAGTAGAATATAAACTTCTTGAGGGCAGGGACCATTTCATTTATGTCTTTATATTCCTAGTGCCTAGCACCATGCCTACTAGGCATCATAGGAGACACCTATTAAATGTGTATTGATTGATTGTTAAATGATCAGACACAGAGAGTAGTCATTAATATATCAGTGTCAGTTTGGACCACGTTCTCTAGTGATTTAAATGCTTCAGAATTCAGTCCTTGGTACTTTACTGATAAACATTAATAATAGGGATGAAGTTATAAGTTATAAATTATATCAAATTTACAGATGACACAAAGCCATGATGGATCATTTGACAATGGAGTCCATTGTTTGACAGTGTGGTTGAAATCCAGAATAGATTCCAGCAGGCTAGGCTGGAGAACAAATCTAATAAGATTAAATGTAAATTCCTGGGTTCAAAAAAATCTACTCTACCAGTTGGTACAGTAGAAAGAGCTTGTTTATGATTTAGATTTAGAGGACCTGAGTTTAAACCTGGGGCTTCTACTTG